TACAAAGTGTGTGTGTGTGTGTGTGTGTGTGTGTGTGTGTGTGTGTGTGTGTGCGCGCGCGCGTTTTTGTGACAAATGAGGACATACATTTGTATAATGACATAGGTATTACAAGGTGAAGGTGACTTTTCAGGACATTACCCCCATGTCCCCACTTTTCAAAACGCTTATAAATCACACAGAATGGAGTGTATTGAAAATCTGAAATAGCACAAAGTTTCCTGTTAGGGGTAGGGATGGTGTAGGGCAATAGAATATACGGTCTGTACAGTATAAAAACCATTATGCCTATGGGATGTCCCCACTTTTCACAAAAATAAACCTGTGTGTGTGTGTATCTTTTCTTTTAGTTTATCGTTTCTATGGCTCTACCTGTGGGTTTGTTTCATTGCAGTGATGATGCAGGAGTCTCGTCTAACAGACTTTCAGCAGAGGCAGATCAATAATCAGCTGAAAAGTGAGTTCAGGTGACAGATTTTATAATATCCTACAACTGTCATAACAGCGGAGTTCATAATTTATGCCTAATACACTATTTTCTGTTTGAGCTGATGGCGGCGCTCTTCCACTAGCATTTGATCTCACGCCGCTTGTGCCCAGTGTTCAGTCAGAGCCCAGAGTCACTAGAGTGACCGCACTGATTGGTCAACAGCAGAGACGCAGTGCAGAAAGATGCCGTGCTGGAGATAATTACAAACGAGAACAGTTCAAGCCTAAAGCAATACGTAAGTGCAAAAAAAAAAACGGTGAATATTGATGAGTGGGAAATGTTATTTTTAATTAAGATTAAAATACCATAGCATGACATAATAACTTTGTCTTAAGCTTAAGATATCTTACCTTATCAAAAGTAAAAATTAAGAAATTAGAGTTACTGGGAAAAAGATCTTTGAAAGCTCTCCTTTGATCAAAACCCGCATTTCTTTGAGACAATATAATAATTTACAACACACAGCGTCAAAGTGGGGCGCTTTTTTCCTCGTTAGATGGGGGCCGGTTCTTAAATGTAGCTGATTTTGTTTTTGTTTGCAACAAGCTTAAATAATTATTAATATATTCATTTAAATCAGCATACATTAACATTTAAGTAGTTAAACAATTGTAGTGTAGTGTTTTTTCTTTTTGTCTTATACTTATTGTCTTAGAAATTGTCATTTTTCGTACTATTACTTTTCCTGTCTGTGGTCAACTCTGCCACAGCATCTAAATGTGAGATCATTAACATACAAACCTAGCAATGTAACAAAATGCTTCCCAAAAATACATTTAGTAATAATCATTTATAACCATTTAAGGAAATTCCCAATATAAGAACTATATAGAAAATGACAGTCTTTTTGTATTGCAGTATATTAAAATGTATCCATGGTCATCATCAGTGTGAGCTATCAAGTGTGCCTTGTCTGTATACATATATAGGCTTACATACATTTTTCTTGTTTTATGCAAGTGTTTTCAAGTGTAACAGGAAAGACTTTTCTATTCATCTCTGCTGATTTGTCTCTCTTTCTAGGAGATCTAGAGAAAGAGAAGAGACAGCTACAAAATCTTTTTTCTACTGGTCAAAAGGATGTTGGGCCAACTCACTCCCAAAGAGATTCCACAGAGAGAAAAGAGCAACAGATAGATCGATTCCAAGAGGGTGAGACAGGCAGTATATAAAAGTTGTTCTTTCGAATCCATCTCATCTAAGGGACCTGAATGTATATTTTATTTATAGTAATTGAATATCGAAATAATTTTGATAGAAATAATGTTCTATTTTTAAATTTTCTTTCCTTTTTTGTGGTGGCCACAGATTGACGTGCTTTCAGTTTATTATAATTTAGAGGGGTACGGAGAGAGTCATGTTTACAAAGACATTATAATGGGAGCTCAGTATCAGCATCTCATGGTAACATGGAAACTATAATTATGTAATTTCTTACCAACAGTTCTGGATGATATTGAGGAGAGGAGGCAGTTTTTAGAGGACATGATGGCAGTGGGAAAAGGTCACCAATACCAACACCTCATCAACACAGAAATTTCCCAGGTAAAGATACAAACACATAAGCTGACCAATAGAAGCCAATACTATCATGCAACATCACCAACCTTCATCAGTTTCACATGCACCTGCAGTTTCAGTTCAAAAACCTGAGAAAATAGCAAGTTCTTCATTAACGTTTTATGGTACCACACTTAAATGTCCACATTTTTTATTGTATCTTTATATTCTTGTGTGGTCATTAGCTGTTTCTAATGCCGGGAACACACTGCCTGATTTTCAAAGCCATCGGATCGCTGATCTTCTCACACAACATGACTGTTTGGAATACCATCTTGATGCTGTTGTGTTCACAACGGATCAGATCGCGTTTTTGATAATTCACACTACACGAATGTCACTCACATGAACGAATACTGATTTGCCTCAGATTTCAAGCATTTGTCTGCGATTTCCACATAACTGTCAGCGAGAACAAAACGGGGCTTAAACCATGCAGTCTGTACCCGGCTTTAGTCTTATAATCAAAACTGTTCTAAACTGCTGCTAACTGTCTGATATTTTTTAACAGAAAATCCATGACCTTGAAGAGATTGACAGGAAACGCAATGAAGAACTAAGCACATTCAAGCTAGATGGAAAAAAGGAACAAAGCAAAGAGAGGGATAGAGAAGGTGAAAATATGAGTTGTTAGACATCTATGAGCATTAAAATTACTTTCAAAAGAGGTCAACACTTCAGAGGGTTTTCTTTTAAGTAGGTTTATTTTTAATGTACCCCATCCTAAAAGCACAGACTGTTTTAGAGAAAACAGAAAGTCCTTGGAGTTGATCAGGCACACATACACTCTGACAGAACAAGCACAATACTGAAATCTGATAAATACAATTAAACTCCCAAATACTTGAAGACACACAAACTGAAATGTCAACAAAATAGTCAAAGACACTCAACAGCCAATGCTAGGACATATGCATAAATTAAACTGATTAAAGGCACTCCTTCAGAAATACACTCCTGCTTGGGTTTACAGAGATTAAGGCCCAACACACAACATGTGACATTCTACAGTGAAAATAAACCATTTTAAATTAAAACTTAATATTGCATAATCTTCTTCCAGGGTCTCTAAAGTGTTTGGAACATCTATTATTGCTTAACATGAAAAACCTTAACAGTTAACATTTTGTGTGTTTGCGCAGAGTTATAGTTTATATATTTTTTTGTTCTTTTATTAGACTTGGTTTAGACTTGTCCCCTTTTATTTTAATGTTCATCTGTCATCAATTCTTCAGACTGAACAGCTGTCTGGTCAGTCGGTAACAAGCTCAAAGTTAATATAATACAAGTTTGATGGTTAAGATATACAAGTTTGATGGTTTCTTACACTTTTAGATAGGTTAACCTAAATTTGACACTCCGCTTTTGCTAGTATGAAGTTATGCTGCGAACTAATAATAAAAAAAATTCATCATAGGGTTATAACAATATAATTTAACAATATTTTCGAAGTTTATAACAATAATAAAAATATATTAAGCAAAAACTGATGCAGTGTGTAGTTTTTTTATTACTTAAATATGTTGGAAGATGTATCCAGTGGCCATGTTCTACAATGCCAAGATTCATTGGGCTCAAATTGTGAAAACGTGGTTCAGGGAGCATGAGGAATAATTTTCACACATGAACTGGCCAACACAGAATCATGACTTTAACCTCACTGTGCTGGAGTAGACTTTACAGAGTGGGTTGACTTTCCCATTGTCAATACATGATCTCTGCCAAAAATGAATACAAAAAATGTTGGAATGTTGCATAAGGTTGTTGAAACAATGCCACAACGAATGCACATTGTAATCAAAGTTAACGGTGGTTCAGCAAAAGAGTATTTAAAATAAAAAAATAAGAGTTTTTTTTTTTTTTTTTGGCCAGGTGATGTATAAATCAATATTAATCATATAAAAATGTTGTCCAGGGTATGGTTGCACCAGCTGTTCATGAGTTCTTGCTTAAACTGGAACATAAAGTCCACACACTTTGTAATTTGGTACTGAAAGCAGATGTTAGTAAATCATAAAATTAATGCATTGTCTACTTTAATTCAACATCAGCTTTCAAATTCATGAGCAGAAGTGCGATTTTCAGTTTATCAATTTTTTTCTTTTTAAAGATTTATTTTCAGCGGTTTTTTACTTTATTACTATAGGACAGTGCAGAAGTGACAGGAAGTGAAGTGGGGGAGAGAGAAAGGGGGTGGGATCTGGAAAGGTCCTCAAGCTGGGATTTGAACTCGGGACGCCCGTAGCGCAATGGCTCTATATGTTGGCGCGCTGCCCACAAGGCTGTCTGCGCCAACTTCAGTTTATCTTCTTGAAATTGATTCCAATTTCTTTTGCCTCATGTAACTAATGCTAAAATTAAGTTTCTAAGACTGTTCTGTAAATAACATTGTAAGTAACACTGTAAATGACAAAATAAGGAGCAATAAATAAATACTGAGGCAATACTGTTTTTTGTTTTTGGCACAGAGCGATGCACACAGTGCGATGCACACAGGTGCGCGGTTTAGATCTGCTTAAGTGCTGGAGAGCTCCAAGTCAGTTATTCACATAACATTCTCTTTTTTAAAATGTAAACAAATGTAAATGTCAACACAAACATGTCTAAAGCACTGTATTCTGTCAGGTAAAACATGAGCTTATTGATGCAATTTAAAAATCTGCTATGTGGTCGGAGGCTTCCATCATTATTTAGTGTATATTTTGTATATATCTATGTTCAGTTATGTTTGAACCAAGTTTATTGGTCGAATATTTAATACGGCGTAAACTGTAACTCAATGCCCATTTTAAACTAGGCTTCTTCTTTCTTTCTTTTTTTTTTACTAAGCACAGCTGGTGCATCCAAACCCAGGCAGACAAAAAACACCAAATCCCTCTTACTCAAAAAAATCACAAAGCATTCATGAGATGGAAAAGCATTTCACTCTCTCTTCGCAATATTATAGACTGCAAGATTGGTAATTCATTTCTGCTTTCATCTCAACAAAGCTTTGTTAATCAAATGAAAGGGCTGAATGTCACCTGAAAAGATTCACAAAAAAAGTGCTTTTTTTAAACTCTTCAGTGTGAACAGAAACACAAGTAGCAGTACCTCCATGCCATTTATAAATAAATATAAACTCAGAGAACAAGATTAAATTAAGTTTGGCAAAAATAAATGTCATACTATCTAATGGGCTTCCTGTTGAGCTCTTCCTATGACTAACGATGAGTTTAAAAGAAAGGTGTGTGTTAAAATTTGGGACTCTCAATGTCATGTCTTAATCACATTCAGTATCAGTTTTCTTTTACTTCAAAATGTACTGTAGAGATTAAAGTAAGATTATATATTTGGCTGAGCCAAATTGTCGTATCTGACCAAGACAGTGTTACTTTTTTACTTTAATGTACTGCAGTAGATCAGTTCAGCTGCTACTACCTCAAAGACAAATTTAACTTAACTGGCTCTGTTTTATAGCAATATATTCAAAAGCGTTAATTAGACTTAAAAGCATTTAGTAAATCTTTTTAGTATATCTTTTTTGTTTCTTTTTCCTTCAGTAAGTTTACCCTTCAGCTGTTCTCTTTTCGGGGACTGTTGTCCTTTACTCCTTCATTCTTGGTGCTCAGTCTCTTCAAAACCTTCATGGGCTTAAACTTCCCTGCTTTCTTCTTCTGCTCACCCGGCCCATGAAACTCTGAAAAGAAATTCAAGAATCAAAGCATGAATGAGGTGTAAAGTGAGAGAGTCAGTGAAAAGAGAAATAACACTGACCTTTTTTCTTTAGCATATCAGCTACTAGTTTGTCTTCCTCCTCCTCCCTAAAGAAGAAATTGATGAACTCTTCAAAAAGAGAATCTAAACTTGATACTAATGACAAAATTACTTTCTATTTCATATTAAATTTACAGTGTACCATTTTAGCAGAGACACTCGAGCTCTGAATCAGAGTGCATTTGCATTGAGTGATTACCTCTGTCTGTCCAGATCTATGCTGTTAACAATCTGGTTCCTCCGCTCAATTATCGTGACAAGTTCTGCCATCAATTGCTTTTCCCTGTCTTTGTCTTCAGCTGTCCATTCCTTCTCTATCAGAGACGTAAGCAATTGGGAGAGAGATATAAAGGAGAGATGGAATAAAAATGGCTGATATTTAAAAGAAAGGAAGAGGATTTACTCAAAAGAAAAGGCTTTTGTGTTGTTTCATACCTGGCTTGTTAAGTAAACATCTAAGCTCATATTCCACATCGGCCTGCCTCTCCTCCAGGTTCTGCTGCTTGGCTCTAAAATCCAGACAATAATCAGACAGATTTATTCTGGTTTCATATTTAACTTTAACCCAACTGACCTCCATTGTTCTGTGTAGAGATCCTGAAAATATCAGGTTGACATATACCATGTATATTATTATATTGACTGCACAATGAACAGGAACTGGCAAGAGCCTGACTGTTAACTGTAGCACCTTGCTATGGCAGTGGTTCTCAAATTGTTGGCAGCATTCTGGCACCAGTGTGACTGCATAAAAATTATACATTTAAAAAAAAGTATTATACATGTACAAAACTATTTGAAACTTGATTGTTGTGGAATCTTATGTACACAAGAATGAGGATCAAATTCACTTTATAATGGCTTTCGTAAATCTCCAACCAGCAGAGTGTTGGTTGCTTCAATTGTGTACATTCAGAGTTCAAAGTTTTTTTATTTGCTTTCTTGAATTTTCTAGTCTCATGCCATTTTTATTTTCTAGAGCGGTCAGAGCTGCCGACTTCTGCGTGAATGCCGAAACTTAAACTCATACTGCTGCTTTGGTACTGGATGCTGTAATCTGTTAATAATGGTGCCACAAATTAAACTTGACACTCATGCATTGTGTATCTATGGTGACAACTTATGCACTATATGTAAAACAAGCCTAAGCTGAAACTTCACTGAACAGACATCAGATATACTGATAGATACACTCTGACAGAACATTGGAAAGGATTACAAAATTAATAACTAACAGAAGAGCCTAACATGTAAACCGTAAAAACCATGCAAACTCAATCAACATCTCCTAATTCATCTTCTAGGGCGTGCAAATAAAGTTAATTTTTTCCCCAGAAAGAGGTTCTGCAGGTAAAGAGAGTCTCATCCTTCTCTCTAGGACTAGCTGTGAGCATTTGTAGTGTCATTTAATTGATGTTCCAACATTTTTAATGATATGTATTATTCAACTATAAATGTAAATTTGAGATCTTTTGCATCATATGCTTTCTTTGGAGAGGTCGCAAATGGATACCATACCATACACAAGGGGGGCCAATGTCAATGTAGTTGTTACAGATGTTACAGCATTTCAAACGTATGCTAATAGTGCACTTACGTGTAGACCAGTTCAGCCTCTTTCCGTACCAGTAAGTGCTTTTCATGAATCAAAGTGAACCAGTCAACAAGTAGATGTTCCTCCTCATCATCTAAAATGATAAATCACAGTCACTCAATCCAGTAATTCAAACACAGCCATGCCCAAGATCACACACATTGCTAATCAGAAATGGGACAGTCTGTTAGAACAGAGTCTATTTTTATGAAGCTTAGCCCAAATGTTTTGTTTTTAGTTTGAGGCTCAGTCTCAGATTAATCAGCCTCTATAAACTACATGATCTGCTACTCTCTTCAGATGAGCCAAAAGTAAGAACACTTTAGTTTACCTGGCTGAGTGAAATTACTGTTCACAAGATAAAAGATGGTAATAATACACCAACAAACAATTTCACTAACAACAAAGGGAAACCTGTTTTTTCACCATTTAATATAGCTACACTATAATAATAATTTTAATCATGATTAAAAATGTATTTTATTTTATTATTATTGAATTGATTAAAAACAAACAAATCAATAAAGAAAACATTTATTACTTTAATACCTAATTTAATTTTACAGAACAAAAGTAAAATTACAATATATACAATACCAGTCTTATTTTCTTTTCTTTCAAATGTTAAACTACAGAGCTTTTGTTTTGGCAGAAAAACACCAGTAGACCTTAAATCATCTCTTTTGTTGACAACAAATTTGAAAACAATTCTTATTACAAATGTGATATTTAAAAGAAAGGAAGAGGATTTACTCAAAAGAAAAGGCTTTTGTGTTGTTTCATACCTGGCTTGTTAAGTAAACATCTAAGCTCATATTCCACATCGGCCTGCCTCTCCTCCAGGTTCTGCTGCTTGGCTCTAAAATCCAGACAATAATCAGACAGATTTATTCTGGTTTCATATTTAACTTTAACCCAACTGACCTCCATTGTTCTGTGTAGAGATCCTGAAAATATCAGGTTGACATATACCATGTATATTATTATATTGACTGCACAATGAACAGGAACTGGCAAGAGCCTGACTGTTAACTGTAGCACCTTGCTATGGCAGTGGTTCTCAAATTGTTGGCAGCATTCTGGCACCAGTGTGACTGCATAAAAATTATACATTTAAAAAAAAGTATTATACATGTACAAAACTATTTGAAACTTGATTGTTGTGGAATCTTATGTACACAAGAATGAGGATCAAATTCACTTTATAATGGCTTTCGTAAATCTCCAACCAGCAGAGTGTTGGTTGCTTCAATTGTGTACATTCAGAGTTCAAAGTTTTTTTTATTTGCTTTCTTGAATTTTCTAGTCTCATGCCATTTTTATTTTCTAGAGCGGTCAGAGCTGCCGACTTCTGCGTGAATGCCGAAACTTAAACTCATACTGCTGCTTTGGTACTGGATGCTGTAATCTGTTAATAATGGTGCCACAAATTAAACTTGACACTCATGCATTGTGTATCTATGGTGACAACTTATGCACTATATGTAAAACAAGCCTAAGCTGAAACTTCACTGAACAGACATCAGATATACTGATAGATACACTCTGACAGAACATTGGAAAGGATTACAAAATTAATAACTAACAGAAGAGCCTAACATGTAAACCGTAAAAACCATGCAAACTCAATCAACATCTCCTAATTCATCTTCTAGGGCGTGCAAATAAAGTTTATTTTTTCCCCAGAAAGAGGTTCTGCAGGTAAAGAGAGTCTCATCCTTCTCTCTAGGACTAGCTGTGAGCATTTGTAGTGTCATTTAATTGATGTTCCAACATTTTTAATGATATGTATTATTCAACTATAAATGTAAATTTGAGATCTTTTGCATCATATGCTTTCTTTGGAGAGGTCGCAAATGGATACCATACCATACACAAGGGGGGCCAATGTCAATGTAGTTGTTACAGATGTTACAGCATTTCAAACGTATGCTAATAGTGCACTTACGTGTAGACCAGTTCAGCCTCTTTCCGTACCAGTAAGTGCTTTTCATGAATCAAAGTGAACCAGTCAACAAGTAGATGTTCCTCCTCATCATCTAAAATGATAAATCACAGTCACTCAATCCAGTAATTCAAACACAGCCATGCCCAAGATCACACACATTGCTAATCAGAAATGGGACAGTCTGTTAGAACAGAGTCTATTTTTATGAAGCTTAGCCCAAATTTTTTGTTTTTAGTTTGAGGCTCAGTCTCAGATTAATCAGCCTCTATAAACTACATGATCTGCTACTCTCTTCAGATGAGCCAAAAGTAAGAACACTTTAGTTTACCTGGCTGAGTGAAATTACTGTTCACAAGATAAAAGATGGTAATAATACACCAACAAACAATTTCACTAACAACAAAGGGAAACCTGTTTTTTCACCATTTAATATAGCTACACTATAATAATAATTTTAATCATGATTAAAAATGTATTTTATTTTATTATTATTGAATTGATTAAAAACAAACAAATCAATAAAGAAAACATTAATTTAATACCTAATTTAATTTTACAGAACAAAAGTAAAATTACAATATATACAATACCAGTCTTATTTTCTTTTCTTTCAAATGTTAAACTACAGAGCTTTTGTTTTGGCAGAAAAACACCAGTAGACCTTAAATCATCTCTTTTGTTGACAACAAATTTGAAAACAATTCTTATTACAAATGTGGGAAGATTGTTGATGTGTCTTGTGTTTAAATGCATGTTATAAGTGAGCCAAACTCGCTGTGTTTGCAGACCAGAAGTTTGTGTGAAACAGCATTTACTGTAAATCGAGCTACTGTAGAGGTCGTCCGATTGATCGGCCGGACGATTTTTGGCATTTTTTAATTAATCGGCATCGCCCGATTGTGCTGCAAATTAGGCCGATTTTTAGGCAGGCGCATCTGCGGGCAGCTAAGCATTGTTGTGGACCACCGGAGAATCGCTCTCTGGCTGCGTGTGAGACGGAGCACCACTCTGCAGCTGCTTCTTGTTCACACACAGCTTCAGTTAATGATGGCAGGGCAAAACAGACCGTTTCGAAAGTGTAATTACGTTTTACCCTACTAGAATTGATGCCGGAAAGTTATCATATTCATAAGTGCAACAAGCCATTTGCATGTGAAAGTAGAAACATGCAATTCAGACGAAACTTCTGGTCTGATTATAACGTGCACGTTAACTTTCCTCATGAAATGTGTGTGTAGGTCCGACAATAGCCTCCACAATGTCATCGCTCGTGGCCAGTGCACTCTTTAAGCAGTTATGAGCAGGCTGTGTAATATGTGTGAACCATTTGACTTATAATAGTGTCCAGTGTTTCACATACATTGAGTTATTACTTCGTTGAATAAACTGATCACTGCACATTTCAAAATTAAAATGCAGCGCTGGTGTTTTTATATGAATGTATCTTTGAAAAGAACCGACCATCTTAAGAAAAGCTTCAATGTCATTTTCATTTCGTCTTTCCTTGTAATGCCTGATAAAATAGCCTTTGTGAGCTCAGGCTTATTTGATTACAGCCGTTACTGGGGAAACCGCTATATCTCCCACTCCAACAGCACCTCCTGCTGGCGGAGAATGAATTTGCATTTGCAAGTCTGTGGGAAACACTGGTGTCTGTCGGCAAACATAAACAAGAAGCATGCTTCAGAACTGTTTTGAGAAGTTGCTTAAGTTTTGAGCCATGTATTATTACTCTGAATTAGACTACTACTATTACTATCTTGTACCCTGCAATAATCATTTACTCAAACTCACTTATGAAAAGAAAATCGGCCAAACATATCGGCCAAAAAAATCGGCATCATATATCGGTCATCGGCTGCCCTGATTTCGAAATATCGGCATTGGCCAGTGAAGAACCCATATCGGTCGACCTCTAAGCTACTGGTGCAAAAATCTGATCCCTGGCTAATTAATGTCTCATCAGCACAGCCAATCTTGGCAGTTCTTCTGTAGCATGCAGTTCTCTTACCATTTGAACATTCTCGTAAGCTCTTCTCCAGATCCACCCCTCTATGCTCTAATTCATCCAACCGTTTCTCCAGATTACTCATCTCTACATGGATGTCTTCAACTGGGATGTACTGGTCTGACTGTACCTACCAAATACGATGACAGGACAGGAAATTATAAGCATGCTCTCACTAATATATGGGTGGTAACAGACAAATGTCTGGTGATAAAGTTGAATGGTTACAACCAAAATACTTTCTGACCTTGTATACAGACTAATATCATTTTCAAATATTATTATTACTTTTCATGCGAGACATTACATTAAGACAATGAATGTGCCATAGTTACAGTTCCTTTCTAAAAACAATCAAAACACAACAATATTCATAATTTAAAAAAAAGAAAGAAAAATCAAAGCAGCAAGAGGTTGTTTCTGTGCCTCACTTTTCGCTTAATGAGAGGAAATCCATGTCCAGGAGCAGGAGGTCGTGCAGGACGGGACCCTTTTGGGGGTCTGGATACAGAAGAGCTGACAGAGGTGGTTGTCTTTCGATTAAATGGATTCTCTTTACAAGTGCGCTGAAGATGACAGTGATGAGAGAGCATTAATCAAAGATACCGAACAAAGAAATTAATAAAAGAAAGCTCCTGGACTCAGGAGATATTCCTGGATCAAAGATGTGCACACTTTAAATGAAATCTCTCACAAACACCCTTGATGTTACTGCTGCCCTTTTACTTCATGAACTGCAGTTTCAGACGTTTTTGCAGAAATAAAGGTCCAATATTTGTAAAAAAAAAAAAAAAAAAACTTACAGTATGTTTTTAAGTTGTTACAGGTCTGTGAGAGCCAGAAATCTTGCTTGTTTGTAGGTGACCAAATACTTATTTTACCGAGGAATTTACCAATTAATTCTTTAAAAATCCTACAATGTGATTTTCTGGATTTTTTGTTCTCATTTTGTCTCTCATAGTTGAGGTATACCTATGATGAAAATTACAGGCCTCTCTCATCTTTTTAAGTGGGAGAACTTGCACAATTGGTGGCTGACTAAATAATTTTTTGCCCCACTGTATTTTGATTCTCCATGTCATGACCCCTTTAAATATTTTGAAAGTGTCATTACTGCCCAACACTTTAGGTAGGTACACTTCCTTTCTTTGCCATAGTTCAATAACTGCATAAAACATGCCAAGTATCCATTACTAGTCCAACAGTACCACTTTCAAATTAGTAATAAGAGTTTGGACAAGAGCTACATTTTTAGGACAAAGAATGTTTTGGTGTGGTATAAGTGGAATAATTTACCATTTTAATTTGAATTATAATATAAGAATATAAGTTAATTGAATTATTGACTGTATTTTTGATCAAGTAGATACTTTGTAGGTGAACAGAACAGACAACACATCATAACATAAAAATATCTTGACTGATTCAGAACTTTTGAACAGCAGTGTGATCTTGACAGTAAATCTAACCTTGCCTGGAGTGCTGGGTGTGTGTGAAGAGGGGAACAGTGGTGGTCTCACACTGCGATTGGTTTGTGGAGTAGCTGGTGCTGAGTTGGTACTGGTAGGTGGTGGTGGAGGAGGCAGGTTTGGAGAAAAGTGAGGTTGAAGCTTAGTTTTTTGGGACAGGGCAGAAGCAGGAGCGTTGATTGATGGTTCAGACACACTCTTGGTAAACAAATGGTCCTGTTCATTAGCAGCAGGTTGCTGGGGGACTGCACTGTGGTCTGAGGAAGAGGAGGACAGGCTCTCTGTGCTCAGAGCTAAAGAAGAAGCAGGAGAGGAAGTCTGAGATGAAGGAAAAGCTAAAGAACAGCAAGAAAGACAACCCAGAAAAAAAATATATAACAAAAATACAGACATGTGAGTAGTTACTCAACTACAACATAGTGTAACACAACCATGGGGCCTCAAACATTGGAGAGAGCTGCAGGATGACTTCATTTTTAAGTTAATAAATTATTAAAATATTATAACTCTAAATGAATATGAAATATGTTTCTACCAGTGTGGCTGCATAATTTAAGGATTTTCTATTTTTACCACTCAATAATTTGATATATATATATACAGTATATATATATATAAATACTCCCAGTTTCTGTTAAAGGGTTACTCCACCCCAAAAAGAAAATTTTGTCATTAATCACTTACCCCCATGTCGTTCCAAACCCGTAAAAGCTTAGTTCGTCTTCGGAACATAATTTAAGATATTTTGGATGAAAACCGGGAGGCTTGTGACTGTCCCATTGACTGCCAAGTAAATAACACTGTCAAGGCCCAGAAATGTATGAAGGACATTGTCAAAATAGTCAAAGCATAAATAAATGTAGAAAACGTATCCGTGTGGTGCGGCTGACACAGACAAATAGAACAGTATACACAGTTTGCATTCAGTGGATACTCTCCAAAATGGCGCTACGGTGGAGACGAATTGTTTTGACAATGTTTTTCATACTTTTCTGGGCCTTGACAGTGTAATTTACTTGGCAGTCGATGGGACAGTCACAAGCCTCCCGGTTTTCATACAAAATATCTTAAATTGTGTTCCGAAGACGAACAAAGCTTTTACAGGTTTGGAACGACATGGGGGTAAGTGATTAATGACAAAATTTTAATTTTTTGGGTGGAGTAACCCTTTAACTAAAACACATCTGAATATGCACATACAGCAGAAATATAGGAAGTATTGTAGTCAATAATGGTAGTGGGGGGGGGGGGCACCTTTGAATATTATGTTGGACAATTCAAATTCAGTCTTCACCAGCTCTTCAGTTGTGTAAAGCAAAATGTACCATCAATGTATCAGACACGGTAAGCAACTAACCTGACAGAGAAGAATTCGGAGCTTTGGGTGCTGGTCGCTTCTTCCTTCGGACACTTACAGGACTTTCAGAAGGGGCAGGACTTTGTCTTCTTGTGTCCCCAGCTGTGATTTCAGCAGCCTGGGTAATCCCATACCAAGGGTGACTAGCCACCACAGGACCAGGGGGATCTTCAGGAGTCGTTTCTGGCTCCTCTTCCTCATCATCAAAGGGATTTGGAGGAGAGGATGGCCTTGATTCCTCCTCCTTTAGAGAAGGAGATGAACCAGTGCAGGGAGGTACAGCTATACCTGTGGGTGGGCGAGGTGCTGGTTTCTTTTTGGTTTCTGATTGGACAAGAGCCAGCCAGGGTGGGTCTTTTGGTTTAGGAGTGTCATTGGCCTTGTTAGAGCTGGGAAAGGAATACATTACAACCACTGAGAGGAACGCACATAGAGATCCACGACTGATCAAAAGTTAAGATATAACTTGAGTTTTTATGTTTTTGGAAAAAAATCGGTTATGCTTTATTTTAAGGTGTCCTTGCTACAGTGTAATTATACATTTAAGCACTGAGTAATATTAATTAACTACATGTACTGACTTTATGGTTAAGGTTAGGATTAGGGGTTGGCTTAAGGTTACTTGCATGTAATTATGCATAATTAATTGTTATTATAATAGTAAAAACATGTAATATGTGTAACAAGGACACCTTAAAATAAAGTGTTACCAAAATCTCTTATGTTCACGAAGGCTGTATTTATTTCATGAAAATTACAGTAAAAACAGTAATAATTTGAAATGTCATTACTATTTAAAATAACTGTTTTCTGTTTTAATATATTTACATTTTTAGGTCCTTTAACTAAGCACCAAATCAGCATATTAGAATGATTTCTGAAGGATCATGTGACACTGAACAGTGAAGTAACGGCTGCTGAAAATTCAGAAGAATAAATTCCATTTCAAAATATATTAAAATGTAAAAAATTTGGGTTACACTTTATTTTGATTGTCCACTTTAGACATTCTACTAACTATAAGTAACTACATGTCAACTAATTCTCATTAATTTGAAACTATATATCTACTAACTCTCAGAGTAGATTGTTAGGGTAGGTTTAGGGTTAGTAGAATAAGATGACATATACTTGCAAAGTTTCTCAGTCAGTATGTTGTATGTTGTGGTCTCATCAAAATAATGTGGCAGAAGTTATTAAGCAGACAGTCTACTAATACTCTAATGACTGCTAGTTGACATGTAGTTGTAAAGTTACTTACTTTTAGTAGAATGTCTAAAGTGGACTATCGAAATAGTGTTACCAAAAATTGCAATAATTTTCACAATATTACTGTTTTTACTGTATTTTTGATCAAATAAATGCAGCCTTGGTGAGCATAAGGGACTTCTTTCAACAACATCAAAAATCCTAATTATTCCAAACTTTTGACCGGTATTGTACGTGAAACAGAAACAAAACCCGAACAATGGAAAATAAGAGATACAGTAGAGAAGACGCCAACAATTATCTTACCGAGCAGGTGAGTGCAATCTTTCTCTTGCCACGGGAACTTGAGAAATTTGAGTGTCAGAAACTCCTAGAATCACAATTAACAGATAATTTAAAAAAACATTTAACAAAAACATGTAAACAACATGCAATAGTATGGCCTGTGTAATGTTATTAATGCAGACGAGATAAGCATCAGTGCTCACCATTGACAGAGGGTCTGGGTGGGCGTGGTCTGGGAACAGGGCGAGGAGCAGGGGTGGGCTCAAATACCCGTCTAGGTGCTGGAACCGGTCGACCCTCTGCTGCTGTACTCTTCACTGACGTTGTTGGCTCATCACCATTGGCCCCACTAGCGGCTGGCTTGTGGTCTTCTTGTTGTGTGTCCTGATCCTCCTCTTCAGATTCATCAAAGGGATTTGGCAGACTAGAAGAACAAGGCACTCCGTGCTCTGTCTCGACTTCTGATCTGCTATCTGGCTGCTTGCTTGATGCTTTTTCTATTTCAGTTATTTCCTCTTCCTCTCTCTCCGGGGTGATCTCAGCATCGCTGTGTGATGCTTTAGATTCTAAACTCCTATTGTTTCGGTCTTCTGGGCTTGTTGAGGTTAGTGTGGCTAGTTTATTACTCATATCTGAATGACCATTCTGATTGGCATCTGAGGCAGATCTGGTGAAGTGGTGTGTGCAAACCAATGATCCAGGATCCTCTGTGAACTTGTAAGATCCAGGCAGTAAAGTTCTGCTGCATTCCTTACATCTGAGAGAAAATCAGAAATTCTCACAAAAACAGTGATAACAGTAACAGCAGAGGGAATAATAAGTAATGTTACTTTTAAGCTTTTAATAATAGAACAATACAGATGCAGATGTTACGCTAGGCAGTTGTTCACCTGAAGCAGTTCCGATGATAAAGTTTGCCATCAACAAGGATCCTCTGAACCAAGTGAACATGCTTTCCACAGACTGAACAGCTGCTGCTCAGAGTACTGCGTTTTGGTTGGCTATCTGCACCAGACTACGTAGCACCAAAAACCAGGTTGAGAATGGAAGGTAAAAAAACATGGAAAAGTAGAGGAAAAAATGGTAAGAGCCACTGATGTTTATTTGGGACCATAGCCTATTTAAATTTTTTTTTACTTTGTTAATACTTTGGACTGTATAAATATGTATACAAAACCAACTACATACATACTTAACATCATGGCATTAGACAATTGGTACAAATTTCTTCAACAAGCAAACAATGTAAAAAATTACTTTGAAAACACAGGAGGACAATACAGATGCCAAAAGTAACAAATTGAGAAACTAATTTTACTGATGTCAATTACTGACCCACCAATTTTATTGACCAGAAACATAGTCAGAAAGAGAAATGGAAAGCTAAAAATAAAGAAAAGGAGGAGAATTCTGTCTGTGAATGGGAGGTATAAGGAGGACGGGGGAACATTTCTGGAGAAGCAAAATCCTCTGAACTCAGACAGCTCACAATATCAACCAAAAACCAAATATGTGATTTGGCTCTGACTGCTGATTTAATAAATTAATTAGAAAATATGGCAACAGCAGAGTACTTTGCTCTGAATACATGGAATTAGGCCAAAATGAGATCTCACTGCTCTCCATCTTGTGTTGTAATAATAAATTCCACTCCACTCATGGTGCAATAGCAAATCCTTAAATGTGGTTAAAAGTCTGAATTTTTGGAAAATTTGTCTGTGCACATACAGGCTGTTGTTAGGTCTACAGTCACCCAGATAATCAGAACAAGAAACGTCTGTTTTTTAAAAACAATGCTGTCTTCTTTACCTCAGTCTGAGCATCACGGCCCTCTGGAGAAGCAAATGGTCTCTTTATGGCTGGTTTGATGTGACCAGGACCACCACCAGGGCTCTTTATGTTTGTGGAGACAGCTAAATAGAGGATACAAATTTTTAGTAGCATGTGTCCAGCATTTTCTACATTAAATGAATGTAATTAAAAGAATATACAATACAATTCGAGTTCTATTGACAGCATAGGGGACATACTGTCAATTACACCAGAAAAATAGCTAAGCTAAAAGCAGTACAAACTTGATAAAAAAAAAAATCATAGGTTCATAAACCTAAATATAAAAAAAACAAATCTGTACAAGTAATTTGCTCGAACAGCAAAGCTGGTTTGTTTACTTGCACCACCCAATGGTTAATACAGTATCCAAATCACGCCATGCTAAACAATGAAAGTCCATGAATCCTAAAACTGCAACCCAGTGTGAGGCGTAGTGCAAACCAAATCATTCTTAATCAACACAATCAGGTTTGGAAATTTAATGTCAAAAAGAACCTAGTTCTTTCTGTTTTCACTGGATCTCTTCTTTTCTCATTTTTCCAATATACGTTATTTACTGCAATGTGAGATTGCTTAAATGAACCAAGTGTTACAATACCTCAGCCAATCACTTGCACTTTCAGTCACACTTGCAATGTTCTGTGACATCACATGCACTCACTGCATACAGAAATATACTGAAGAAAAAAAAAACACTGCAGCACTGTAGTCATTTCACATCTGCAACTAGGTGTTGTACAGAATGGACATGAATCTAATCTTAATGGATTGGCTCATGAGAGTAATTTGTATGTGACTGACACTTCACACAGAATGTGCTGGAAGTTTTTTATTTACTAAGCATTGGGGGAGATTATAAAAAGGCCCTAAATGCATTGCAGTTGTCTCTCTGTGTGTGTAAATAAATGTTAGTTTAAGTCAGCATATCTATTTGCAGTGCTCAATACTCACTGTGAGATTTGTTGGTGAAGTAGTTGTAATACTGAGATACATAGGTGATGATGCTCAATCTGTCAGGCACACTCATGGACACCATGTCTTCTGGATCCAGCAGGGCTGGAATACCCAACTCACTCTCAGCAACCTCAAACGCCTTTGAAATGAAATAAAAAATAATATCTTGTTTTTCGTCATGATGCTGCCCATAAGCTTTTAAAATAGCAGATGACAGTGATCAACATTTTATCAATAATAACAACCAAATGGTTGTTATAAAAAAATACTTATCTAAGTCCTACACTAGCTGTAAGACTATGGCTATACCAGAGGTGGCAACCGTCGGTCCTGGAGAGCCGCAGCCCTGCAGAGTTTTGCTTCAACCCTAATCAAACACACCTGAACAAGTTAATCAAGGTCTGAACGGTTAGGCAAGGCAAGGCAAGCTTATATATATATATACAGTGGGTACGGAAAGTATTCAGACCCCCTTAAATTTTTCACTCTTTGTTATATTGCAGCCATTTGCTAAAATCATTTAAGTTCATTTTTTTTCCTCATTAATGTACACACAGCACCCCATATTGACAGAAAAACACAGAATTGTTGACATTTTTGCAGATTTATTAAAAAAGAAAAACTGAAATATCACATGGTCCTAAGTATTCAGACCCTTTGCTGTGACACTCAAATATTTAACTCAGGTGCTGTCCATTTCTTCTGATCATCCTGGAGATGGTTCTACACCTTCATTTGAGTCAAGCTGTGTTTGATTATACTGATTTGACTTGATTAGGAAAGCCACACACCCGTCTATATAAGACCTTACAGCTCACAGTGCATATCAGAGCAAATGAGAATCATGAGGTCAAAGGAACTGCCTGAAGAGCTCAGAGACAGAATTGTGGCAAGACACAGATCTGGCCAAGGTTACAAAAAAAATTCTGCTGCACTTAAGGTTCCTAAGAGCACAGTGGCCTCCATAATCCTTAAATGGAAGACGTTTGGGACCACC